GTCAGGAACCTGCCCCTCAAGAGCTGCTTTGATGTGGGCACTTTCTTAATTTCCCGGAGCCTCGGTTTCCTTACTTCTAAAGTGGAGATAATAAAAATTTCCAGAGCTGTTGTGAGCATCGGAAGGTTTGCGTGCAGTCACCCAGCGCAGTGTCAGCACTTAAAGGGCACTCAGTAAGGGTCATTTCTCTTCTCTCTCCCCCCAGGGGAAAATGCATCCATAATTTTTACTATGAGCCTTCCTCTAGCTCCTCATGAAAAGAAGAACTAGCCTGATTTTTACTCTGCAAAGCTGATTAAATAAAAGGAACAGGAAAAAAATCAGGGTTTCTTACTCCCTCGATTACCCTGTAGCTGTTGCTGCCATTCTAGGCTCTACTTTCCAAGTGAAACAGGAAAGGTGGGTTGGCAGAAACCATAGGGATTGTGGACATATATGTGTAGCAGGTCCTCAAATAACTCATTTTGTTCAGCGTCGTTTCGTTATAATGATGAGAAAACAGAATGATTTCTGGCTGAGGCCACTGCCTGTGTGGAGTTTGCACGTTCGTTCTCCCCACATCTGCGTAGGTTTTCTCTGGGGACTCCAGTTTCCTCCCACGTCCCAAAAATGTGCACATGAGGTGAGCTGGTGTGTCTGCATTGTCCCAGTGTGGGTGAGTGTGGGTGTGGGTGGCCCTTTGATGGAAGGGCAGCCTGTCCAGGGTTGGTCCTGTCTTGTGCTCTGAGCTGCTGGGATGGGCACCAATGACCCTGAACTGGAATGAGCAGAGTGGAAAATAATAATCTTGTTTTTATTCACCTTTCTTGTATGTATAGCTCACAGGTATTTCAATGTTTAATATTAAAAGTGTCTTGGGTCTTTATTTAGAAGTTTGGTGATGGGGTGTTTTTGTGACCAGAAGTATACCATAGGATCTTAACTCTTGTTTATATCAGCCTATGGCAGGGGTCGGCAAACTGCGGCTCGCGAGCCACATGCGGCTCTTTGGGTACGTACATGTGGCTCTGAAGTAAAATTGAAAATGAAAATAAAACTACCATAGTTTCACTTATAAAACTTTTAAAGGATATTATTCACATAATGGTTATTTTATTTGTTATATGGCTCTTGAATAATTTTTAAATTGTTGTGAGGGACGGGGTTGGCTCTTCCATCTCAAAAGTTTGCCAACCCCTGGGCTATGGTAACATTGGTTTTCTTATACACTGTTTCGCTTCAAGCCACAGTTTCTGAGAACCTATGTACGACATGAAGCAAGGCCTTACTGTAGCTGATGTAAGCGTGGAAGGAGGGGAGAATTCAGGAGAAGGGTTGAGAACAGAGATCTTGCTTTTCTCTTTCCAGTACAGCATTGTTTTGAGTTTTCCAGTTCAAAAGGGAGCCTGTCTTATAGTACTTCACATCCAGTAATTTCCAGAAAAATCTTCTCTCCATTCTGAAAGTCCCTCCCTACCCTTAAGTTGAGAAATCTGTCCCTGGAAAGGACAATTATAATCCAACACAATTTGCCTCTGTCTAGAATGAAATGGAGATCTGAGCATTTTTCTGACAAAATGTTTCATCTTTCAAGATTCCCACATCTGATTTTCTTTCATAAATTCCAATTTCACTGTACTAGCCTAATAAGTTTCGCAATTGCCTACTTTATATTGTAATACAATATAGGTATATTTAAGGAATTTGTTTTGAAAACATTTTAAAATCACTTTAGTTACTTTTCTTTTCATGAATTACTGAAGCCCTAATCATGACTCCAATTCATAATTTCTTCTTTTTTAAATAAACCCACTGAGAATAGTTCATGCAATTCTTCACTCAATATTAAGAGTTGGTAAATGAATATGAAAATATGCTATATAAATATGATTTGACAGTTTTTATACGACCTTGATTAGATTATGCGCATGCAGCATTTGAAAAAGTGTTTTCAAGTACATTTTTATTTAATCTTTGCATGACCATTGTGATATGTCATCTTAACCACAGTATATCATTTAGGAGAGTAAGGCCCAAAGAAATTAAATTTTAAGTGGCCCAGAATCACACAACCAACTGGAATTCTAGACCAGAAATCTTGATTTCAATCTAGTGTTCTTGCCACAATGCTGCAACTGAACTAAATGCACAATCAGCCAGAGCACTAGTTCAGACTTGGCATGCATATTCAATCTTCCATATCTAATATCACATCAAATTTTCCATTGAATGACTCTTATGCTTCATTTGCAGTGTTCTATTTGTAATCTTTCAACCTTGCTTAATTTTCTTAATGTGAATAGTTAACTAGCCCTTTGGTATGTCCAAATGAGAACTATTATGTCATAATATTCTGGTAACTTGATACCTCTTGAGGATCAGTCCTCACAAAAAGTATTTAAAAAAAAAAGAGGCACAAAAGTTGCACTGTTAGGAAAGAACTTAGTGCTAAGGTCTGGTTTTTGTTTTACAGGTGGCGTTGCATGCTTGTGGAGTGGCCACAGACATGGTGATTGAGCACTGCATCAAAACACGGGCATCCTTCGTCACGTGCCCTTGCTGTTATGGTTTCATTCAGAACACCTCCAAGTTTCATTTTCCAAAAAGGTGAAATTTAGTCTTCTATGTAAGGCACTGATGTGGGGATTAGACCAATGCACAAAACTCGTTTAATATAAAACTGCAATGAGGTTTCAGTTTTGAGTTCATTTCCTCTTTCTACAATGGCAAGTATTGTTTATATGTTATTTAAGGAAGAGAGGATCACCTCTATGCCTGCCCGGGATTTTTCTCTTGGATCCAGCTCTTACTGAAACTTAGAAGCAAGTCTGTCTAAGAGCCAGCCGACTAGAAGTCTGACAACTTCAGCCCTTCTTGGTGTAGTTCTAAATGGGAATCATCATCTATGAGGGACAGCAGGGTGTAGTGATTAAGTGCTTAGGACCTGGAAGTATTTCTCCTGGGTACCAATATTGGCTCCTCGTGCTTTTATAAGTTGTTTCACCTCAAGCAATTCACTTAAACTCTTTGCCTACATTTTCTCATCTACATATTGGAGGTTATAGAAAATTACTTCAAAGTTTTTGTGAGAATTGAAGGATATATATGTAAAGCACTTAGAAGCGGCATAGAGTTAAGCACTCAATAAATGTGATCTGTTGCCAGTTACAGTAGTAGCAGTACTATTTTTAAATACTGCCCATGGGTGGTGATGACAAGTCTGCAAGCCCGCAGCCATTTTTACAGTTCTTATCTCACATAGATGAGGGAGACATTTTAACTCTCATCACTCAGCCTACTGGAGGGCCAGTCTCTCGGTGTTTATAATATTTCATTCTCTGAGTCATAGTTACTGAGAACCATGCTGATCATTTTAATTATAGAATAGATTAAATATGTTAGTTTTGGAAAGTCAATCCTATAATGTGTCAAAAAAAAAAGACTTCTTAATCATTTGCATCACTACTTTTAAGAAACCTTAGAAAGCTTCCATTAGAATTTATACTTAATAGCTTCTATCTAAGTAATTTGAAGTAAAAAGTACAAATGATAGCCTTCCTATTATTTTTCTTTCATTGTTTGGTTCTTGATTACAATTTGCAACTAGGTGAGAGAAAACCAAAGGAACTATGGNAATATTTTATAGACAGATAGATAGCTTATATAGCCAAGAAATACTAATAGAGTCCTAAAGATTACTACAAAGTATCCAAAAGAGTTCTCAACATATAAGATATATATGTATATATGTATATATGTATATATGTATATATACATGTATATTGTATGTCATATATAAATGTGATATAAATTATTTCTTTCAAAACAAGTATTTGATTATTATAAAAATACTTTTAGATTGACGTATTCTGATTTTGATTATAATTACTATTAATGTCCTAAAGAAAATTTAAAATTCTTTTGAAAAGTAAGATACATCCAAGAAGAATTTTTTCCTTCCAATTTCAATATACGCAGCTATATGACCTTGAATTGAATTTGTGTTATGGATTGAATGTTTCTGTCAACTCCCAGAAAAATTAATAAGTTAAATTCCTAACCTGTAATTTGATGGTATTAGGAAGTGAGTCTTTGGGAGGTAATTAGACCATGAAGGTGGAGCTTTCAAAAATGGAATTAATGCCCTTATAAGAAGAGAAAAGAGACTTTGCTTTATCTCCCTGCTTTCCATTATGTGAAGATACAAATGGCTATCTGCAAATCAGAAAGGGGGTTCTCATCAGTTATCAGACCTGCCAGCATCTTGATCTTGGACTTCCCAGTCTCCAAAACCATGAGAAATATAAATGTTTGCTATGTGAGCCACCCAGTCTATGCTAATTTTTAAAATAACAGCCCAAATTAAGACAGTATGTATTGATTAATATACCCTTAAAGGGCAACTTATAAACTATGGCTTAAAAAAAAAGGATAAAAAAATCATATGATCATCTCGATAGATGCAGAAAAAAATAATTTGACAAAAATTCAACATCCATTTATGATAGAAACTCTCAACAAAGTGGATGTAGAGGGAACATACTTAGACATAATGAACACCATATATGACACAATCACAGCAAACATCATATTCAGTGGTGAAAAGCTGAAAGCTTTTCCTCTACAATCAGGAACAAGACAAAGATGCTCACTGTTGCTGTTTTTATTCAGCATCGAATTGAAAGTCCTAACCATAGCAATCAAACAAGAAAAAGAAATAAAAGGCATCCAAATTGGAAAGGAAGAAATAAAACTGTCACTACATGNTTGATTCCCGGCCCGAGCTGAGCTGAGCTGCTGCAGAGCTGCCAACAGGCAGCAGGATGGCTCAGCTAAAAAAAAAAAAAGTTCAAGGACCTTCTTCATTTTTGTACCACATTATCTGGCATGCTTCCTGGTAAGGGTGAGGATCAATATAATACGTTTGTACATTATTAAAGCTATGTAATACAGTAATAATACTTTGCCCTACTGTCTGAATTATGTAACTGAGTATACTTTGTTTCCTGGGTGAAATCTAGGTTATATTAATAGAAAACAAGGAATTATCATTAATTCGTGCTAAGAAGAGAAGTGACGAACTAGGTCTAAGCAACATTTGGTTCATTCAAGCAAATATGGAGTATTTTACGGGGATGTTTAATATTGGGGTAAGTAACCAAGCAATTTTGATTTCCTTACTTAAATAAATAAGAAAAAATGTAATCCTGGGAGTAAATAAAGGATATACTTTTATATTCTTCACTAAACAAATTTATAACTTTCATTTTCTATTATTGATACAGTACAGCATGTTAATGAATATTATTTTTTTCATAGCATTTTAACATTACATGATGCAGATAACATTTGTTCTTCAACCAGACAAGAACTTTATTTTCTACTCTGCAGAATAACCAGTGCCTAAAACAATGTTTGACACATAGCAAGTGCTTTAAAAAAGTTACTGATTGAATGAATGAATGAATGAATGAATGAATTCTAATGAAGATGATATCTCTTGATTTATTCTACATTTTTAGGAGATAATGAAAGAGAAGAAAAATAAACAAGATAATTCACAAACATAGCTTGGTAGTAACCTGTAAATACTAGAGTTGCCTTTAGATATTTACTTTAGCTAGGATTTTATATCTACATGTGTTTTTAGTTTCCATGAGACAGAAAGTATATTGGTCATGACTCTGCCAACTCATTTAAACCCAAGGTTGTATGTACTCTAGTAGAATTTGAGTTTCATTAAGATGTTAGTGTTGCTTCTATTCCTCGTATTAGTTTTAAGTAATGTTTTTCTGATTTTTATAGGACTATATGCTCAATAGAGAAAAATACATAATAATATGAAGAAGAATCACCAGTACTTCTATTATTTAATACTGTCAAAAAATACCGTCAAAAACCTTTGCTCTTTAGATATTCATGCACACATACAAGTGCATATTTACATGTATGTTAACATCATTGAGATTATACTACAAA